AAAGGACCCGAATTTATGGATATTTTTTGTATAAGTATCATATTCCAGGTAATTATAGGTTTTTCTAATAGCTAATTCATCTAGAAATATAGGTGACTGAAATAGAAAAGTGGAAACATAGTTAGGAAAAAATAAGAATGTTAGAAATAAACCAGAGACATTTTTTTATTATTTTTTTAACAAAAAAAAACAAAATTATAATCATGACAGCTTAGCTCCCATCCATTAAGCCTGTCTCAGTCCATTTACTCTTCTAGGCGAACCATGAAAGCCTGGAAAAATCAGGAAAATAGAGAACAGTAGAGAACAGTCGACGTTTTTATTTTGATTGTTTTTTTCCAGGCTCTGTTTATTTTGGACAAAAATAATGACATCGATTCAGAGAGAGCTCTCCTCCTGCAAGGTAAAAATATATTTTACTTCTCGAATTCAGAATCACTGTCTACGAATTCTTTTCTATTTATTTTTAAACCGCGGATGACCTATAAAGAGGAAGTATTTCGATAGGTCTTTTTGATCTATTTTTGATTTGATATTTCTTAAGATAATTATATATGTACGGTGTGTCCCATTTCCGGGTGTTTTACAGAGTTTCTCGTTTATAAGTAGAGGTACGTTTATCTGTGAAACCATTAAAATTTTTGAAATATATTATATACAAAAAATGTTCATTTTTTAATTCTCCATCTATTGCATAAAATTTGCGTAAATTAGGCAAATTTGTCTACTAATAAAAAACACTGAAATTTTACAAAAAAGTAACATTTTTATTTTTTAAATTTCAGATTCAGTAACGAAATCCTCAAGATTCCTACAAGAAATGAACCCACCAAAAAGGTACAGAAATGTTATTTACCATTTAACTCTTAACATTCCAGTAAAACTGCCACAGTTTTAGATTTTTCAGCAATATCTCTTATTTTTATTTCTTAATCCATCGGAAAGTTTAATTTATTTAACCATCCCCCTCCCCCCAACCATCCACCTGGGATTTTTCCTGAAAAACGTTTAACAAATGACAGATTTCCCTCAATCCGGACAACTAATGATTCGGAAAATTTCCCCGAAATTGGATTTTTCATTGAAACAACTCGAGGAATGTCTTTGGTTTTTCCTGCTGGAAAAATCGCAATTTTTAAATTAGTTTTCCTTCTCGTTTTCCACCGAATTTTTTCACTTGTTTGCTTTAAATTATATTTCTGTTTATTTTTGAATGTATTATCAAGGTTCTAAAAGAAACAGAGGTTTCATTATATATTTTTTATGATTTTTTTTAAATTTAGAAACAGTATTGTTGTATTTTTTATATCAATATTTATTTATTTAAATTTTCTGATCTACTGCAACTTTATAAATGCATTCTGGCAAACAAATTTGAAGTCTCAATACAATTAGAGCTTAAATATGAGATTTAACAATTTTCTATTGAGTTTAAATGGTTATTTTTTTATACAAGACGATAAAATGGTATTTTATCGTCGACCGAAGAGATTAATTCACGCCGAGCGATTAAATCGCGACTGAATTAATGTCGGGAGACGATAATGCAATTTTATCGTCATGTATAAAACAATATTTTTTTCCATAGCGAGTTACGTTTTAAAAAATATTCAGAAATTATTATTTCAAGGAATTTATTACGAGTAGAAAAACTATTGTGCTGGGTTGGCGTTGGTTTCTATGTAATTTGACAAATAAATAAAGCTGTCTCTTTAGTTGTCAGTTTTGAGTCAATATTTCTTAGTTCTCTTTCATGTCGATTGCTGATTGAATTGGAGCCAGAAATGGCTCAAAACGAAATAAGTAAATTACTAATAAATATTCAGGCTGAGGTGACAAACGCCATATCCAAACTACTTCCATTTAAACCCGAATAACTTATGAAAAGGAATACAAAAATTTTCAAAAATGGAAGCATTTAAAAAACGTGCGAGAAGAAATAAAGTTTTTAACCTATCCTCGGCTGTTAAAGTATCATTTAATCTACCCTTGTGATTAAAGTACTATTTTATCTACTAGTTTTGATAGATATAAGGCATAGATAAAAGACTTATACCTACTATTAAATAGATAGGCAACTTATAATACATTTCAATTTTATTATACAAGGGCGCCTCTGGTAGACGGAGGAAGAAATACTAATGAAAGAGAGGGGTGCGGGGAAGGGGGGTTGTTTTAGTTAATTTAAAATAAATTTAGACATACATGTAAGAACAGTTTGTGTGTTTTTAATTAGGTCGAACATATTATAAACGATAAATCAACTGAATTAAAAGCATACAAAGTGTTCTTATATGTCGGATATTAATTAAAAAATATATTAAAAATACTAGAAATAGTATATATTAAGTTGTTACAGTTATAATTTAATCTTTGGCGGTTTTCAGCAAATAGCAGGCAGTTTTACATAATTTTCCTCCCTTTGAAGTGAATTGGAAACGGCTAGGTATATAATTTTGGTGTAGGCAAGATTCCCAGTTTGTTTCTGTTTGGGACCTGAAATAATAAAAACAAATTAAATCAGATGTAATCATCTGCTGATCATGCTAATATAAAACGCGCGTCCTTAATTCCTTACATGCACCGTAAAAAAATTTAAATAACTGCTCTGCAAGTAGCATTTATTAGCAGTACTAATTTAAAAAATCTATAACTGTAAGTAGATATGTTTAATTTACTTACCATTGTATCCTTCGGAAACCAGGAGTACAACAATTAAACTCCATGATAAAAAATAATTAAAAGTTATTACAAAACACAAATTGTCCCACCATTTTTAAAAAACATTGTCTAAAACAGAATACTGGCAAAAAATCTGAAGGAATTTAATTTTACAATAATTCGACAAATCAAACCGTAAAATCACAACAAAAGCGTCTCTGAGTGACAGTTAAAAATCAAATTTTATTATTGTCAGATATTGACATTTGCATTGTTAATATTGACAGTTTTAATATTTTGCGCCTCTGCATCTTGGAGGAAAAACTATTTTTAATGAACTGTCATTTCCATTTAAGTTTCCCAGCCATGGATATAAGGCAATTTTAACAGTTGCTATGGAAAAAATAATCATATTTATCATGTTTTTAGTTGGTTGATTTAAGACGTAATTTTTGATTTTCTATACTCTTAGCGACATCTATGCGAGTTCCTGCTACACTACAACCCTTATCGTATTTCCCGCAAACAAAATTCGATTCCTGGTTTCCAAAACTACCCACAGATGTCTCTAGGGAAATTAAAATAAACTTTTTGATAATGATCCTTTATTTTAATATACAATAATGTACCTAACGAAGATATGTTAACTAAAGACTAAAATGTCTGTCATTTTGATTACAAAATTTAATGCTTACCGGCTATTTCGAATTCTAAAAATGGATTTATCTTACACAATTATAAATAGTAACCGCTTATATAAGTAAATATATATTATTTTGTTTTCGTATATATACATATACATAAAAGTCACATATAGATTATTATCAGACTGTCGAAAATATTAGGCACACATTTATATTGGCCCTACTAACAATTATTATCTAGTTTATTTCCATTTTAACAAGTTTTTATTTATTTATACTCATTTTAAACAATATTTTAAGTTAAAGTAATTATTGTATCCTACCATATAAAACACAGAACATTGTTAAATATCTTACTTAATAAATGTTGAAGAGCTTTGCAAAATCTATCAGAAAAAATCAAAATATATAGGGCGTACCATTTAAAAAATTTTAGATTTTTTAATTTTAAGTAGTTGAAATTTATAAATATATTTTGAACACCCTGTAGCGTTTAACTAAAATATCTTAAGATATATCTTCTTTTTAATCTCTATAGAACTATCATACCAAATTTTGGTGTACCAACTTCAGAAACAATGGTACCACTGACAATTTTTTACCACAGTGCAATTTAACATTTGTATAAACAAATTTAAATATTACAAAAACTACTAATCTTAGGTATACAGGGTGTTTCAAAACCAACCAAAAACCAAAAACTTTAGGGGGTGATTCCTTGTTCAAAATAAAGGGTAGTTTGCTTTATAAACGTTGGGTCAAAAGTCAACCATTAGGGAGATATCGCGGTACAAAGATGGCGAAAAAATAATGTTTTTATTTTTTATCTTGAAAACAAAAAGAGATAGACTAATGACATTTTATGGAAGCATTACTGTTATGTAAACACACTTTCTGGTAATTTTTTCACTTTTTTAAAATGAGTGGAACATTCTTGTTAACGTAATTTAAAGAAAAATCTTATCAAACACATGCAAAAAAATTAATTTGGATAGTTTAGTTTGTTTAGCAACTTTTTTATCTCTTGTGTTTTTTTGATAAAACTCACCGATTTGAAATTAAAAAATAAAATGTAAAGAATTACATGTCAGGACAAAAAACATTTTTAGATTAAGAATCTAGTGATAATAACGATAATAATAATCATCTAGATAATAACGTATTGCAGTAGAGTAATGTCAAGTAAAATAATATTAGGAACATCCTAAAAAGTAACAGCGGCCGACTGGATTTTTTCCTAAAAAAATTACAGCAGCCCACTAGATTCTTTATCAGAAAATGTTTTTTGTCCTGACATGTAATGCTTTACATTTTATTTTTTAATTTCAAATCAGTGAGTTTTATCAAAAAAATACAAGAGATAAAAAAGTTTCTGAACAAACTAAACTATCCAAATTAATTTTTTTGCATGTGTTTGATAAGATTTTTCTTTAAATTTCGCTAACAAGAATGATAGCGGTAGTTTATTTCAACCCCTTCCACTCATTTTAAAAAAGTGAAAAAATTACCAGAAAGTGTGTTTTCATAACAGTAACGCTTCCATAAAATTTTATTAGTCTATCTCTTTTCGTTTTCAAGATAAAAAATAAAAACATAATTTTTCCGCCATCTTTGTACCGCGATATCTCCCTAATGGTTGACTTTTGACCCAACGTTTATGAAGCAAACTACCCTTTATTTTGAACAAGGAATCGCCCCCTAAAGTTTTTCGCATTTGGTTTGAAACACCCTGTATATGGTTGTTTAATTCACTTCAACAACATTCTGTGTTAAATTATAATTCTTCTAAACAAAAACTGACGTAAACAAAACTAAAGTAATATCACATTACTGTATTTTTCTTATCCATTTTATACACAGAAGCGCTAAAAATCTTAAGTAACACGAATGATATGATGATATTACAAATGATATGATCACCGTTACATTATGATATCGGTATAATTTTAATTCAATTTTTTTAAACACATTTCTTTGATTTTCGGCACTTTTAAAATCTAAGGAAGCTCTCAAGTGTGTATACATTGGTCTGTATAATGAACAACACTTCATTTTGAATCTGAATCTAATATCACATTTACAATATTTTCATTTGATATAATCACATTGATACAGGGCGTTCAAGAAACTTCCGAGAAACTTGTTCGAAATATTTCGCTTCCATATACAGGGCGGTCAAAATTGAAATCGAAAAACTTCGGCAATATATTCAGCAGATAAAAATATGTAAAAAAGTTCGTATAAATGTATGTCCTTAAATGCTTCGTTTTGAAGATACAGGGTATAGAACCTTTTTTTACGTAAAAAACTAGCAAAATGTATTTTTTTCCAAAGAGCAATGTTATACAGGAACGGAAAAAAAGTTATTACTCTTCAAAACAGTTAAAAAACATGTAGGTAGCACCCCTTACAAGTAAGAATCAATCTAACATCGAAATTGAATTTCTCGTGTAAAAAACACCAATTTTTCATCACGTTAATTCTGAAATTATTCAGAAAAAACCTAAATAAAAATAAAATTTCTACACCCTGTATCTCTAAAACGAAGCATTTTAGAACATAAATCTATACAAACTATTTTACTAATTTGTATCTGCAGAATATGTTACCTAAATTTCCCTATTACAAAATTCGAACCACCCTGTATACGTCCCAATTTCTTGAACACCCTGTATAATATTCTCTAACATCTACTAGAGAAAAAACGAAAAATAATAACGACAACTGCAGCAAAAATTATTATATTAGGCACTAGCACTAAATAAAAACTTGCTCTTCGTCTGAAGCTATTCCCAAATCTTCTTCCACCGGTGAAGACCCCTCAATTTTGCCTTTGACAGGTGTCACCGGATACTTGACAGGACCGCGCCATTTTCTACTCAAACCCATGCTCCTTGGTAGAGCTATTGACGGACCAAGAACACTATCTTTGGATATATCCAAGTCCGATGCGATCTTAGATTTATCCACTGGCAAAGTTTTTCGATTTTGTATGTATTTTCCGTTGCTTGCAAAAGTCACCCAATCAATATTTCTTTTCGGGATCATGTCAATAATAACAGCTCTGTCATTCTCACCGGAATTTGACTTTTTCTTTGCAAAGCTCGTTCTTTTTTCTGAAGTCGAGGATCTTTTGACGTGTTTTGTGCTGTTGGACAGGTCACAACAGCTTTCAGTCAAGTGTTTTTCGACAGGACTGGCTGTAATTTTTCCAGAATTTGTTCCAGGGTACTGTAAACTTTTTTTTAGAGATGTTAGAGTAGAGTTATTTGCTTCAACTAAGTCGTCCTCTGTTATGTTGGTTAAACTTCTTTTGCTTGAGTGTGGATTTGAAACTTTTAGGGTTGTGACCACTCGGGACAAGATGAATTCTACCTAAAAAAACAAAATAGTTTTATTTTTATTTTTGTACATATTATTTTTGATGTATGGTTGGATGCATAAAGACAGAGCAATACAGGTTTAGTAAAAAAACATTTTATTAAAAAAAAAAACATTAAAAAGGGTTGTTTTATTTTATTTTTCTACCATACTCCTCCGAAAGGAGTTGACCGATTTTGATGAAATTTTATATGTATATTCGGTAGGTCTGAGAATAGGTTGTTATCTATATTTTATACCCCTAAGTGATAAGGGTGGCCCATCCCAAATTTCTTTTTCTTATTTTTTGGATAAAATTTTTATTTTTATTTTTTTATGATTTGACATTAAAAATACATACAACCCTAAATTTTCACCCTTCGACCATCAACCCCTATTTTTAATAGGGGTGTTTTTTTTTTAATTTTTTGTTACCATACTCCTCCGAAACGGCTTGAACGATTTTGATGAAATTTTATATGTATATTCAGTAGATCTGAGAATAGGTTGCTATCTATTTTTATACCCCTAAATGATAAGGGTGGTCCACCCCAAATTTCTTTTTCTTATTTTTTGGACAAAATTTTTTATTCCTATTTTTTTATGATTTGGCATTAAAAATACATACAACCCTAAATTTTCACCCTTCGACCATCAACCTCTATTTTTTAATAGGGGTGTTTTCTAATTTTTTGTTACCATAAAACCCCTATTTTTTAATAGGGTTTTTTTTTAATTTTTTGTTACCATACCTCCTACACGACTTGAACGATTTTGATGAAATTTTATATGTAATTATATTAATTAGGTTCTGAGAATAGGTTGCTATCTATTTTTTATACCCCTAAGTGATAATTTTACACTTCTATTTTTTTCCACCTCAATTTATTTTTATCTTTTAGACAAAATCTTTTATTTTTATTTTTTTATGATTTGGCATTAAAAATACATACAACCCTAAATTTTCACCCTTATCTACCATCAACCCCTAATTTTTAATAGCGACATTAGTAATTCAATAATTTTAATTTAACAACAAATAAAAAATTGTTAGAATACCTTAAATTAAAAACGTGGGTATGATTGGGTATATACCGGGTACAATGGCATTTACTCAAATTCAATATACTATTTATTGACCCTTTGGGTATATACCGGGTGCAAAAAAATACCCAAATTTCAATATACCGGGTACTTGCCCATCATTGACTTTAGCTAAAGCAACACAATTTTTTGACTAAAAAGCAGTTTTTGACTAAATTACTGTTTAAAAAACAGTTTTTTTCATTGAAAATATATTTTTTTAATATCATTTAGCCAGTTTTTGGTTCAAAAATACAGTCTTTCTGTATTAAGTTTATTAAAAACCTATACCTTTTGACCAGTATTCTTCAACAAATCCAAAGAATCCGAATATTTTCTTCCTAAAAGCGACTGACCGTTAACAGCAATTACTTGGTCACCACTGAGAATATTCTGGCTGAAGTCAGCAGGCCCTCCAGCAATCACTGACTGGATATAAACGTTACCATCTGATCCCTCCGTGATTTGAAGCCCCAAACTGCCTCTTTGATCCCTTTCCACAATTACAGTTGATAAAATCCGTTCTTCGGCAAAAGACATATTGTCTAGCTTCTCCAATAACGTGTCGTTGATAGTTTCATGGAAATTCGGAAGGAAGTTGTGTTGTGATACTGATTTGATGGTGGAATCTGCCAAAAAAGTCATCAAAATTAAGCTAAATAAGATTTTAAAACCTAAACATTCTTCACCAATAACATAAGCTTCTCCTTCACCAGATTGAGCACCATCCTGAGATGATTTCGATATAGAATTTGAACTGCAATGCAAAGAAACAGACTGCAAAGACATCTGATCGAGATAATCCTGAACAGAAGCATTAACTGCTTCCATGCTTCTGGAAACTCTTCGTGAACTTAGGTTGGAGAATGCTCTGGTACCCATTTTGACACCTCTTCTCTTTTCTGTGTTACCTCCAGGGTACCCTACGAGATAACTACTGTCTAAAATGGTACCGTTATTGTTATACCTTCGATAAGGGTTCTCGTTTTCTTTGTTTTGGTACTCTTCGTTGATTCCTGTTAAGGTTGTGTTCAGATCCTGAACGCTTTTGCATTTTCGGTAGAAAGAGCTGTCAATTTTGGAGTTTGGTGAATTAGAACGTCTGAATTCCACCTAAAATTCAATAAGTATTAAAAAAGACATAAAAGGAAGATATACTATGTGACATAGAAATTCCAACACCCCAGTTGACAGACTTGAGACTTAAACCAAACCAAACTGACTTGTTGCAGCTCTGTCCACAATATATAAATATAGCTAAGCATATACTGGGCGTTGCAATTTCTATGTTACACAGGATATGAAGAATATTGTACCTGAAATTCTGTTTCAGCATTAACTGTCCCATCATAGTCAGAAGGTTCCAATTGTGCATATATCGGTTGAGTAAGTGCGTCAAGCTTGCACAAAGAATTTGTCTCGTTCTTTATGTCTTTCAGGGGAATCCCAAACTGCTGACTCAAGGATTGAAGAGAAGTATACTCTGTACGGAGTCGCAGAAAAAACTGGTGGTGCAGTGAAGCCAATCGAAACGCAAAGTAACTTCTGAAAATCTAAATTTAATACAAATAATGTAGATTGAAAAAAAAAACGTACTTTTTGTGGTCCATTTTGAGTTTGTACTTTTTAAGCTTGGACCGATGCTTTTGGCCGTTGTGCGGTAGAATGCAGAGGTAGTGTTTGCTGTAGCACAGAGTCTGTATGCTACGCCATTCGAACTTTTCGTAGAGTTGAGGTCCGAAATGACTGGTAGATCTGCCTCGTTCGTAGAGGTTGACTCCTTGGGCGCTGATGTAGAGCCAGACATCTTTGTTGGTGTTGTCTTTTAGTATCTGGAAAGACGTAGAATTTAATTTTTACCGGGTGTTTTTGAAAAGCGGCTCGCCCCTATAACTTTTTTTATTTTTCAGATAAAGAAATAAAAAAGTTATAGGGGACAGCCACTTTTGAAAAACACCCGTTATTGTTTTAGTGATTAGCCAGAAGATGCATTCAAAAAAAGTCACCAAAATACACAAAAAGTCTTACCCATGTGGCTGTATAAAAATGGCCACCGTAATGAGGCAAACTCTGAGTGAAAATAATAAAGTCTTGTTCAGCTTTTTCTCTTTCCAACCCCTTTTGGGAAACATGCGCTTTAATCAACTCTTTTCTTAACCTTTTTTGGTCATCGACCACACTAGCCATAGTCTCTGGAACATAATGTTCCAGAAGAAAATAATCCCTAGCTCCATGCTCCTGGAAAATATATCAAACTTGAGTTAAATAACAGAATTTAGGGTTAAAATCATGTTCCACTACCAGTTCGCTGTAGTTTCCGAATTCAGCTTGCAAAGCTAGGCCGTTGAGTTCGATGATTTGTGAGAAAGAACATGGAAGTTGATGTTCCAAGATTGATCTTCTCAGTTGGAGGTAAAGCAAGTGCCTGGCTTGGCTGCCTCTGATGCCTCTGAGTGAAGGTAGAAAGAAACGAACTCTGCAAAAGTTTTTTTAATTATTTTACGTTTTAAAAATATTGTGATGTTTTCTCTAGATCAGACCTATCTTACCTCAAAAATAGAGTCAGATTGATGTCAGGGTTGCTCTCAGAATGCACCACCTTCGAAAGCCTAGTATCCGAAGGTAAAAACACAAAATCCCCAGCAATCAATGCCGATAGACCCAGCATAAAATTCTCCTGGATATGCTCCTTCTGGATAATAAACTCCAGAAGCTGTCCGGCCGTTGTGCTGGTCGGACTACACATTATATCCAGTTTTTGACCGTCCAGCATGATCACAGTGATGGTTTTTTTGGTGCCTTTTGAATCAGGCATGGCGAATTTCTTGTTGGGCAAGGTTGCCCTTACTACGAATTCTGGACCAACGCATTGTGTGGGGAGTCCGTCTCTGTTTGCTGGAAGATCTATGCCGGCCCTGTATAATCTGGAAGCAGCTCTGTGGATCGGGTTCTTTTTTAGACGGTTTTTCTGGATCTTGTAGTCGTGCTGTGGAAAATTGATATTATTATAATATACATGTGAACTTATAAACACACAAATATGCAGAATGTGGTAACGTAGGAGATGGCAACATTGCAAGGCTTAAACAGAATAAACCTGCGACTCTAAAAAGTTTTTTTATACAGGGTGAGTCTTATATAAATGCAACTAATTTTAGCAGCGGTATATTTCGACCCCAGGAACACAAAAAAAAAGAAATAAAATCAAATGTTCCTGTATATTTTAGAGAACTTTTTAGAACCGCCTTCACCGCAAATAATTGTACTTATACAGGGTGTACCAGAAATAAGTAAAAGAAACATATTTTCCCATTATCCTTCTTCAAATAAGTTCAAAATAAGGGAGATTTTTTTTCCAAAAAAAAATGATTTTTTGCTAAAATTTGAGAACCACTGGATCTTTTCTGGATGTTCTTTCTTGTAAATTTAATCTAATACCTATGTTGCCATATTATCAAGAAATTATGTTTTTTAACTAAAAACTAAAAAAAAATTCCAAAAAATATTGCAAAAAATTTCGAATTTTCAAATTTTTTTTTCGTCAAAAAGAATCTCATAGGCGTGTTTCTGGGGTTGAACTATACTACCAGTTAAAATACTTGCACTTATTTCTGGGACACCCTGTATCAGGAACAACCTCTATACAGGGTGGAGCACCTCATTCGTCTCGGTTAACGTTGATTTTGAAAATATCTACTAACTGTTACTAGAAAATTGCCTTAGCGACACAAGCCATCTTGATTGCCATTTTATTGAAAAATCACTTTTTATTCAAAATCTGAGCCAGATAGGTATAGGAACTCTAATATAGTTTGAAAGAGCATTTTAATCTGATTCGACTGATTTAAAAAAATACAGAGTGTTGCATTTGAAATAACGAAGTTTTCATGTAAAATAAATATTTAAAATATACCAGCAATTTTTGATACCCCTGTATACATTTAAGGAAGTAATCGAATTTTTAGTAAAGTTTATTTCTCCGGTTTAACAGTCAGCACAAGAATTAATTTTGAAAAGTAATCTACAGAGTGTTGACAAACTTTTTACTATAGCGTGCATATTTAAACATCTTTAAATATCTCAAAAACCAAAGATTTTAAATTATATTAAACCCTTAATATAAATGCCTTATTTTATGTCCTAGAATCCAAAAATGAAATAAAATACCGGGTGTGTGTGTTCCATAAGAAAAAATAAAACTTCGACATGGATCTTAGTTCTGGCACACCCTGTACATTTCAAAATAATTTTAAATTGTGCACATTGTCTTCCCACATATACCCTTAAAATATTTTGTTTCTATATCTTTCCGTTTTCGCATAATCAACCGAGGCGAATGAGGTGCGCCACCCTGTATAGTGAAAAAAAGTACAAAATGTGTCTTTAGTTGTAATATAGACCATTTATTTTCAGGGGTTCAACAGGAAGTGGAAAAACCTTTTTATTATTGAATATTTAGAAAAATGTATTCTCTATGCTTTTTTATATTTGCTTGTTAATGTCAATTTATTGATTAACGCCATATTTTTTGCTGTTTTAATATGTTAAAGAATCACAAAATTTATTTATCTCAATGCTACAGAAAAGGTGATTACCAGTTTTGTGCTTCTTTGACATTTCAAAATAGCAATGTATAATAACCATTATAACAAAAAATGAAAACGAAATATTACCATAGAAAGATTTATTTTTAGATAAAAAACTATATTTTCATATTTTTTTATTATTCTCTAAAACGGTATGGAAATTTGGAAAAGTTTAAACGGGATAAACCATTTTAAGAACAAGCAAACTTTTTATGAGAAATACATTTTTCTCAAAAAGTCAATAATAGAAAAAGGTTTTTTCCTCTTGTAAAGACAATTCGGGAACATACTGTATCTAAAAAATATCGTGCACAAACATAATTATGATTGAATTTTACCTGCAATACAAAATTGTCACGAAAAAAATTATCATCATCCCCACGGTAATACTTGCTATCAGGTACGCACAAGCTTTTCGGCCTCGCCACATTGCCAGGCTTCTCCGAAATTCCCAGAATGCTCAGATCTTCCATACTAGTGGCTACCTCCCTGGTGATCTTGGGCAGAACAACATCTGAAGGTTTGGGTATGTTCCAGCGCCTAGGTATGGTACTGAAAATGGTACCGACGATCAGCGTATGTAGAAAAATCGGAATAGAATGAATGAGATGGGATGTAATGGTGTGTTTTGTGGTTGCCAAGCCATGGCAACGGGTACTGAATGAAATATCCGGTACTAATGTCGATTGGTTTCCGCGTTTGGTCACGCTATTGCTTTACATACGTTTTTATTCTCATTACCACGAAAATACAGATTTTATTAGTATTTAAATCATTTTAGCTTTAATTATTGAATCTACATATACAATAAACAACAACAAAATATTCCTTATGTTTGGGCTAAATTTTCTCGAAAATAAAGACCTAATTTAAAATTCCGTTACACTACGGAAATAGATTGAAGTTTTGTGATTACAGTGATAGATAATTTATGTGGTTTTGTAACAAATTGCTCGCTATTTTATGGCAAATGCTGAAGCTCTGCAAACCTTAATCAAGCCTTAATCAAAGCACGTGTGTTTGGAATTTTGGGTGTGGCTTAACAGGACAGGATCGGGCTAAGAATTAGGCAGATTTCTGAAATATAATATATATTTCCTTTAGCCACACGCTCGCTTTAATTTGGAAATTGCTATTTAGCAAGAACAGTTAACCTAATAGGACTGCTCATTCAGCCAAACGTGTCCGCCAGGTGCATGCGAAAACTACTCGCTTTGTGACGTCATTGTAGCCCTTGTCATGGTTAATAGTCCTTATCCGGCAACCAATAATACATACACGTGCATTATTGGTTACCAAATGCAAAACGTTCATTATTTAGTTTATTTATTTAAACACCTTATATGTATGCAGTATAGAAAATTAACTGTATAAATCGTATTAAATACTTGGAAATCACCTTTTGCAAGCATTCTTTTTAGAATACTTCCATATTTTGCTTTAAAATAATTAATAAACAAAATCGTGGGCACTTAGTATGCACTTTTTCACAATCCACAACACAAAATGAACGTATTTACACACTCTATAGCTCTAAAAACTTTAAAGACACCTTTTTCACATCTAAAATTGACAAAATAATTAACTCAAAATTTCTCAGCTGTTATTTTTATAAGTTTACCATAGGCAACTAATAATACACACTATCATGACAAGGCCACGAATGCTTTGACAAGGCCTACAATGACGTCACAACGGTCAGCTTAAGCGCGGGAAGAGGCGAACGTACGTCTTATGAGGATGAGCAATCCTATTAGTTTACCGTTCTTGGCTATTTAGAATGCAATTTTCTATAAAAAAAAGGCAAAAATACCAAAAGTACCATTTTAAATCGAAAGGTGTAATCATTTCCGGTGAAACAGGAAGTGCCAGAAACTAATTATTGAATACGTCAGTCAATCCTGATTTATGTCACATACTAACATACCAAATCTCTTCATCTATCTTTAAAATAAAAGAGTTATAGGGGTGAGGCACTTTTGAAATACACCCGGTATACCGTTAGAAATCCGTAAAGGAACTTTACGAATCTTTGAACTAAAAATTTTAATGACATTTTCGATGTGTCTACACTCTATTTTCAAATGTTTAGATTTCAAAGGACACCAATTAAAATTACAGCAAGTAACATTTGAATTCCATCGGAATTGCGAAGCGTTTCAAAAATGCTTCAAAAATCCGATGCTCCCCAGTTCAATGGAATTTAATTTATGAATAAACCGCTAACGAATGCTGCGACATCGCTACAAAATGAATGTATATGTATGATAGAATTCTTTCGTAAATTAAATGAATGTCAACAATTTTTAATTAATAGACACTTCGGCTATATTTACATCAAGAATTTTAAACATATTGGCTGTACATGTTCTAGCTTAGTTCTTAGCTTTATTTCTGTTAGTTTTGTGTTTCTAATACAGTTTTTCTTTTTTTTTTTCGTAAAAATCCAAATGGTGGGGAATTTAAATTACCCTGTATACTGTTTTCGGATAAAGTTTAACTAAAAATCAGGAAAAAAAATCGTGGTTGGCTGCGTTTATTAGAGAAGTATAACTATTTACCTTGAATTGGGATGGATGAAATATTTAACAAACAAAAATCATCTTCGCTACGTCATACAGGATGGGAATATTTTCGAGAATTTTTTTCGAGTTGATTAAATTATTATGCAATTATCTGTCGGCGATTGTTTATAAAAACAGGCATAGATTAGCTAAATAACTATTTTACCACCGATCCTCGAAGCTAAAATTGCTGTAATTACAAGTCGCTTGATATTTTCTAATGTTTAGCATTAAAAATACACGACAATCAAGTCGTCTGGTTTGTAATTTTATGCGTCCCTATTGTTATTAATTTTACTACGTATAGGAATACATTTAAATTTTTTAACAGATTGCACTATTGTATACAGGATGTCAAAAAAAACGTACCGGTGTGAATTTGGCAGCGAAAGATACAAAAGTTTGTATTTGTATCTTTAATGACATGTTGATATTTAAGTGGTGCCCAGCGAACACATACAAATTCACAACAACAGAATAGAATTAGTCCACAAATATGTATACTTGGGCCATGAGATCAAAATAAGCAGAGATAACCAAACCTGTGAACTGGCTAGACGAATTACCTTGGGATGGGCGGCTTACGGAAAAACGAGGGACATCTTTAGAGCAAATATCCCAATACACCTGAAAAGAAAGGCATTTAACCAATGTATCCACCCGGTTTTGACCTATGGCGCAGAGACACTCACTCTAACAAAAGCAACCGCAGAAAAATTGAGAGTGACACAGAGGCGGATGGAGAGATCTATGATTGGCCTGACTTTGAGAGATCGAGTAAGAAATGAAGAGATACGCCAACGTACGGGAGTGGATGACATTAAGGATTACATGGACCAAAAGACTTATAGAGTGGAGACCTTTGGTGGAGACCAAGAGCCGACAAGCGTAGCCAAGGCAGACCTCCCACCCGATGGACCGACGACCTGAAACGAATAACAAGTAACTGGATTGCAACAGCTAAAAACCGCGAGAACTGGAGACGTTTGGAGGAGGCCTATGTTCAACTATGGACGTGAAAGGGGGCTGCGTGATGATGATGATGAAGGAATTTGCAACAATAGAATCTAAGAACGTTATTCAACTAACAAGATAAACATCCTTAAACATCATTTTATAGAACACTATTTAAAATTACTTTTAACTATGTAACTCGCAGTTTCTTCAATATCACCTCGTTAAAACTTTGACAAAGTTCTTCACCGCTGCCAAGTAACAGATAAGGACACAGTAACAAAGTAAAAGCTGACTCTGCTACTTTGGAATGGACTCGCTCTTAGATTACATATTTTATCCGGTATTCGGTAGCTATGCAACGTGTGCTTGCGGGTATTTCCAGCCAGGACAATAAGAAAATGCTATGAAAGTCGTTGGTAAATGGAAATGCACACCCGGGAGACTTTTTCTCGTAGATAAAGAGATCTGAATGTTTGTTGACTTGATATATTTAATTAATAGCGTTTTTAAAATACCGGGTGCCTCTCAAAAGTGACTCACCCCTATAACTTTTTCATTTTTTTCAGATAAAAAATCGAGATTTGGTATGTTAGTATATGACATAAATTAGGATTGATTGACGTACTTAATTATTTTTGGTCACTTCCTGTTTCACCGGAAATTACTACATATTTTGGTTTTTAAATGGCGCCCTCGGTATTTTGTTACTTTATTCCACAGAAAAGGACACTCTGGATAGAACTTACATATCGTATGTCAACTTTTGACGTATTAGCTTTAAAAAATCGTGTTTTAAATTTCAATCTAGAGTGTTGAAAGCACTAATTTTTAATCAAGGACCCTTGAAAAAATAGATTTGATCGTCTAATGTTTTTAGTGTTTTATCCTGGCCAGTTAGAAAATGCTCAAATCGTATTTTTAATCATATCTCAATTTTTCAAATGGAACGAGGGTGGCTCATTAACATATTTGGAAAAAGCATTTTTTTACGAATAATTTGATACCACACACTTGGTATATTTCGAGTCAAATTTTCATTACGAACCGCAAGTTATAATTTCAAATAAACCATATGCGAAAATGTCAAAAGTTGACATATGATATGACATTCTATTCAGAGTATTATTTTCTATCGAATAAAGTAAAAAAATACCAAGGGTGCCATTTAAAAATCAAAAGTTGTAGTCATTTCCGGTGAAACAGGAAGTGACCGAAAACAATTGAATACGTCAATCAATCCTAATTTATGTCATATACTAACGTACCAAATCTCGTTTTTTAATCTGAAAAAATAAAAGAGTTATAAGGGTGAACCACTTTTGAGACGCACCCGGTATATATTACGAGGGCATGTCGATTTGTTAACAAAGAAAGGTTTATTATTAAAACAAAATCTAGTTTAATCGTTCTCTTATGAGGAATTTGGGAAATTCCACGTATATTTTCATTATTCTGCAGCTTCTCTGTATCAACAATACGATCTCTAAAAAAACAGCGACAGGGATGGCTATGAAATGAAGATTACTGTCATTTTATATGTAAAATTATATGGGGAATGGTCATCGATCGTCATTTCCGAGCTAACTGGACGCCGTTTTTTTTTCGATCATACGGTATTAGCCAGAGTTCGACATTTTTTAATGTGGTCCAGACGTTCCACAATATGGTGGGACATATTTCAAAATGTCAAACTACCAATAATCAAATGGTTTGTGTATCAAATCAATTTATAGGACAAAAGAAATAAATCAAATTTTTAACTACTTATAATAAAAAATATGAACCAAAATGCGTGAAAAGTAAAACTAAAAATTTTTATAATTTAATTTTAGCTTTACCTAATTAAAAATACTTCTCCAAGTTCTGAAAGAAATCCAATTATAACTAGAATCGGTGATTTCCCTAACCAAAAAGCCCCCAACTGAAGCGAAATTATTTTAATGAGCTATAAAAATGTCAGTCGCGGTAAAATCAAGTTCCAGCTACCTATAAAAACTCGCCTAACCGAAGCACAGAGGGAGTGTTTACGTCAAAACATGGCCAAAAATATTTTGTAGCTTTTTTCGCATTCGTATTCAGAAAATAGCAAGAGCGCATTTCCGCAGAATTTCATTTTCGTATTAGTAGTTACAAAGACATCTAAAATATGAAATAACATTAATTTTTCATGTATGTCATTTCGTTACTTTTAAACCGTATTCAAAAAATGGTGACGCTCCCTGAGGTACCCAAATGACAGTTTTTGGCTAAATGGAACTTGACCCGATATTTTTGTCACTCTCCATGTCTTACAGCGATATAATATAACTGATATGACTCTAGAATTAAAAGCAAAATGAAGCTGATGAACTGATTACTTAGCTATAAAAATAATTTATTTTTTTCGACCTATGGCCAGTTTTAAAACACAACTACTCCACTGTGTAACGGGGAAACTAGAGTCAAAGTGAAACTGGGAAAGTATTCGGCTTTTGCGCTTCCGCAAACTTAATTACTGCCATTTTTATTGGGCGGATTTCGCAAAGAAAACCCAATTAAAAAGTATAAAAGGGCCTGCCCTTTCCTTACTCAACTTATTTCTCCGGAACGAAGGTTCTAGCTGTAGTAAATTAGGAAATTGTTCAATAAAGTTTGAATCGGATTTTCAATATTTTCTTAAAGACTTTTTATTTGAACTAGAATTTTTTAGAATTTAGAATGAGTAGGAGGGGGGTTAATCACTTCGACCTTACAGATCCATTGTGTCCCCCTTTCTTGAATCATAACTCATCATACAGTCCCAGGGCTTTGACAAAAGCCAGTATCTGGGACGGTTTTATAGAGGGTAGTTCTCCATCTCCAATATCAGTCGTACCAAAATTCATGGCACGAATGGTTGTCGTCTCGGCGCACTCAGTGATGAGGTGTACTGGTGTTTCACCATCTTCCCCACAGAATCTGCATTCGCCGTTTCTTCTTAGTTTCAATCTACTGAGGTGTTCATTGAGGAGACAGTGTCCTGTTAAAAACCCCGTGACAATCCGAAGATTGTTCTTACTCAGACCTAGGAAGATCTGTGATTTTTATTGATCATAAGCCCTCAGAAACTTCTTCGAGTGTCCTAGACCATTGCAAGATTTCCATTCCAGGTTGCGGATGGAATCTTCCAAGTTCTTGAGTTCCTCCTTGAGTTGGTTACCACTTGGAAAGCAGAACGGTTCTGGTCCAGTTAGTGGAGTGTTCGCTCCTTTTCTACCTAGATTATTTGCTTTTTCATTGCCTTTTATCCCTTGGTGAGCAGGCACCCAGTGTAGGAGGACTTTGTTTTCTTTGCCTAATTTATTCAGCTTCTCTATGTATTCTTTGACCAATTTCGAATTGATTGAGACTGAGTTGATCGCCTTTAACGCTGCTTGACTATCAGATAAGATGGCTATTTCTTGTTTCCGATAGTTCCTATCTAAGATAAGTTGTACGCATCTCTCGATAGCGTAGATTTCTGCCTGTAGGATACTAGGGTAAGTGCCCATTGGTTCGGAGTAATTAGCTCTCGGCCCAAACACTCCGATCCCTGTTCCCGTATTGGTTTTGGAAGCATCAGTATACCAAGTTATGGTATGGTCTTTTAACTGCTGGGCAAGCGTTTCGCTCTTCCAATCCTTCTTATTGCTCAATTATTTGAACTAAAAAGCATTTTAATAAATGGAATTCAAGGATTTCAAAAATTCTAAAAAGTTTTAGCATCCTGTATTTTTAACAATATACTTTCGGTACTCATATATTTACAGGACCTTTTTTTCATATTTTTTGATGAGGAATCACCCTCTGAAAGTTGGCAGTCCATTTTTGGACACCGGTAGAAAAAAAATTGATCCAAAAAAAATTTCAAAGATGTTATTGTTTTGATGTTTCCAGTAATATTATTTATTTTACTAAACAGGGTGAGTTTAATATATACAATTTTAAAATAAATAAGGCAAATGCTGGTAGATCTCGATAAAAGAAATATATATTTTCTCTTTGCCGTTTTTCAAATAAGTCCAAAATAACAGAGTTATTTTAGTTTGGAAATTTAAAAAAAAAGTTTAAATGGCAAATAAACCACTTACTCGCTATTATTCTGATCTTGAGTTTAGCTAGCTGCATATTTCCTGAAAACTTTCGGTAATATAGAGAGGGCGTTTTGGTCTGCTCTAACGCCGATATTACATAGTTTGCGAGTTCATGCTTGCAACGAAATCACGGGGATTATAGAGAGTTGAGCGCCGGCTACAAAGCTGCCAGGATTAGTTTCAGTTTCGCAGAGAGTTCAGACAGATTCATATATAAAATTTTATAATAGAGAAAATGACATGTTTTAGCCGAACTCGTCGATATTCTACAGGGTGAGTCTTAAATAAGATCACATATTTTTTGGGGTGCTTTTTTCCGACCCTAGAAACGTCTACGAGTTTTTTTTCGCGATTTTTTTTTTGGTATTATGGTATTTTTTTGGTATTATGGTATTTGGTATTTTTCGAAGAAAAAAATTGAAATAGTTTTTAATTTTTAGGTAAAAAACACAATATTTTCATATAATGGCAAGAGGTATAGATCATGCCAAATAAACTTTTAGATACGTTTTTAAAAAACCTATTTATACACAATATAGGAGAACCAATATTTGATTGATCGATGTACAGGATGGGTCAAATTCGACGCTTTTAAATGGAAACACCCTTTTCTATAGGAGATAGACTAAAACTAATATCGGTGTCTGGAGCTCAATTTTTGTCAAAAACATGATGGTGAAAACCGCATATCGATATCTGTACGCGTTTCGGAGTTACGGGGTGTTTTTCAAAAATATGCATTTTTAACAAATCGCTGTAACTTTTTTGCTATGGAAAATTTTGTATTTTTATGAAAACATTTCCAAAGCACCTTTTTACGTAGACTTTAATGGTTGAAGTATAATTTTTCTAAAATTAATATTTAAGAATTATCAACA